GTCATCTTCATCATCGAGCTGGGTAATCCCAGACTGTCCCTGTTCCTCCTTCTCAGGCATGGTTTGCCTTCCTTTCAACGCTCCTTTCCTGGGGTGGAATTTATGGTCGTTAGCCCTGTGTCCAGCTTTCTTGCAAGTAAAGCAGAGTCCTTCTCTGAAGCACTTCTGTCTTTCTTCTTCTCCCATGCGGTCAACGTCCATTGCATTTGGGTCTCTGGCTTCCCTCTTAGGGGGGATGTACCTTGGGTTATTCCCAGTTTTCTTCTGATATCCTCCTCCACTGTTTCGTCCTTCTCTTGCAGTGATGGCCAACAACTGCTGATGGTTGTTGTCCAAGTCAACTGCTCTTGCTGAGAGCTTTTTGAAGGTTCCAATATCGCTCCCATTGACAAGGAGTCTCCATCGGAGTTTCTTGTCTAAGCCATCTAAGAAGAATTGATGAAGTGCTCCATCATCCACAATACCTCCCCTGGTGGTGAGTTGTCTGAATGAGGTGAGGTACTTGCCAAGGGAGTGGGTCTGATGGAGGTTTCATAATTCGGTGATTGCTGCTCTGTCACGAATTCCTAATATGAACTTCAACATTATTGTTGGACGTCGGTCATAACACGCTCCAATGGAGTCTACTTCCTCAAATGCCTTTTTGAATGCTTTGACAAAGTCATCACTCATCCCATATTTTTTGCTATTCGTGGGGTCTTGGGCATGTTCTATAAAGTCGTCTGCCCAAGTAGTGGCGGCTCCTTTTGTCATGTATGACAAGGTGAAAACGATTTTCTTTTTGTCATCATTATAGATTTTCTCATTGATGTCAATGTATGCGGTTATGGATCGTAACCATCTTCCAGAATCTTTTCTGTCTCCATTGAATTCGGTGGGGGTACCAATCCGTATTTCTACGGGTGCTTTGGTAGTGATGGTAGCCGATCCAGACATGGCTGGGTGGATGAGCTGGGGTGGTAGTCTTGGTGGGGATCGAGGGGTTCGTGGAGGAAGTGGGCAGAAGTCGTCATAGTCTGGTTCAGTGTCTTCTGATGATGAGAATGATGTATTCGATGGTGTGGGAGCTCTTTCCCAGTGATTCCGAGGTCTGCTCAACGCTATCTTTTAATCAATAATACGCTCTCATGATGGAGAGGCATTCGGTGTGGAAACTTGAATCTTATGTTACGAACTCAGTTGGTTCCATGCTGGATACCCACAAGGAGTGTCGATCTAGTGCGATTGTTGTCGTTCAGTTGTATGACTACCTAGACAAAGAGTCTAAGGTAGAAGAAGATAGAGATTGATAGAAGCAATGAGCTTGCTATCTAGCTGTCTTGCTGTCCCTCTGTCCTGAGGCATTGGGATGATACTGAGTAGATTCAAGTTAAGGACTACTACAGCGTATGGAGTCTTTTATATACGAAAAGTCGAAGTACTGGTTGAATGGTAAGGGTCAAGGGGGTAGTACCGACAATGTGGTAAGGGCATAGGGTGTGAGTCAAAGATAACAGGTAAACCATATAAGTGGTGCAAGAACGATAAGCCAGTACAGATAAGCCAACAGAATGGCTAGATGGAGGTCACATTGGCGATGGATAGCATCGATAACAGATAGGTAAAAGAGAATAAGCTGGTCCGGGAAGCTTACGTAAAGTCCCCGTAACAGAGGCACTACGGGAAACCGAAGGAAGTTGCAGCCTCCCAAAATGTCCAATAACGGGTAGCATTAAACTTGCCTGAAGTTGCAACACCTTTGACAGGTCCTCGACGTTGTATAGCTCTATATGCCTGTACGATCCAAAAATTAAAAGCTTCTCCAGAGTAAGAAAACGCATGTCAGAAAAACCATGGTCTTCCCTAACTCACTGCAAGGTCAATTCGCCCAAATACGAGAATCACAAGTGACTTACCCATCATCCAAATCATAATTGTTGGAGCTCTGACTCCTTTGCTCCCATGCCCTTGGGACCACCAGAAGCAAATATAATGATCCAGATCACGAACAAGGGATAAGCAAATGAAGAATTTCCACTCGTGATGATGAGCAATCTTATCCTTGATACGCCTCGGTGGGCATTTTGCTAGGGTCATGAATGTTATGACCCAAAGATAGAGGGTGCCAGGGTTTGCGATCGCCACGACAACAAAGACGGCATCATTCCGTGTGAGCTGCATGTTGGACATCAAGATGACGGCAGATATGAGGAGGGAGTAGATATTGGCAATGTAGCTGTAATATGCAAGTTGGACTTCACAGTTGTAAATAAGTGTGATTGCTGGGAAGGGTCAACACAGGATTTTAGAACCAAATCTCCATGAAACTCGCTGAAGACAGTCGCTGTAACTCCAACTAGAGTGCGGTCAGCTCCTTCTCACCCAGAAATACAGAGGAGACCCCATGAGCAACTTGCTGTCCTATGCCGATGACATCAAGGTTTGGGCATGGCTTGTAGCAAGGAGTCGAAGGTGGATTCAGGCAATATATTTGGAAGTGTCTCTTCTGACACTTCAGTAACATTGATGTAGTAGGTGTTGTTGATGTAGGAAGTGTTCATCAAAAATAGTGAAAGGGTGATGGTAGACCCTGTAATGGCTCTATACTAGATGTCCACTAGAGTTCGTGCATTTTTGGGGTAACATCTATTACTCCACAACACACAAACATAAAAATTTAATTCTTTGACAGTTCGATAGCCTGACATCGAAAGTACAACATCTGCTAGTTTTTCTTTTGAAACTTGATGTGTTGAGTCTGGCAGAGAGTTACTGCACAGAAAAGTGCATTTTCCCTAGAGTTCGCACACTTTGTCACACCATGTCACCCATCTGCCACAATGCCTTTTCACACTCCGCAGTGTCCACAACCGTTCATATGTACTAGTGTGTTGCAAGGACTTCAATTTGGCATTGCGGAGTTTCGATTTACACAGTCTCGACGTAACACTTTGGATAGATTGTCATGTCTGAGGCATATTTCTTTTATTGCAGATGATCCTGACAAGCATGTGGCCCCAGAGAAATTTGTTTTAGTATTCTCTCATCGTGTATAACCATCATACCGCATTCCAGAATTTTATGTGGTGATCTGACCTTTAGAGCGAGCCTTCTATGCCAAAAACTAGCCTCCAGCACCAATAAGTTGGCCATGGAACGAGATCTACTTCGATTTTCTTCAAACAAAAAAACATGGCACTGTGTATTATGTTGGGGAGGACCTAAATGCAACATACATAAGGATTCCGTGCAGAATTGTGTGTGCTAGAGTCAATGCGCGAACTCTTGGGACACACGGACTAGTGGGACTATCTAGTATGAGTATGTTAGGACTGCTCTCTGACAGGCTCGATTCTGTTGAAATCAGCCGGATTTGATCACCAGAAATGTGGAAATGAACAAGCAGTGATCTAATCAAATTACGCTGATTCCGACGTTGGCGAGACTCATATAAACAGTTTGGGATACGATGGGTGGGTAATACATTTGAAAGCTGACTCGGAGTGCCAAGACGTCAAGAACAAGATGCGTGTTCTAAGTAAGGTTGGCGGCAAGTCTGAGTTTCAAATATTAGAGTCCCGACCCCAGGGGGAGATCCACATAAATAGAAAACTTAAAGGTTGACAACACTGACCAGAAAACCACCGTCCCCAGCTGCAGGGTGGCCAACAGCGGCTTCTTTCAGGATTATGATAAGCACCTCAATATTAATGGTCGCGGTCACCGCGACTCAGGCTCACCGATAACTTCGAGCATCATGCTGAGTACGATAGGAAGCATAAGTACTGATGCAGCTGAGGTGGAGCTCGGGAAGATGGGCGTCGTACATATTCAAGTTATGGAGGCCTTGAAGCTTGAAGTTGTAATCAGAAAGGCCAGGTATCATTTACGTACTCTTATTTGTCGACTCAACAGCAAACAAGCAGATTGGATGCAGAGAACCACAAGAGAACTACGTACGCGCGCGAGCAGCCCTGAGTGTCATCAATGTGCTTGTATACCTGTGGGACCGCTCCCTTCCGTCATACCACTCCCTCGGACATAGAGCTTCTAAGGGCCCAGGCAACTTAACATCTTGCTGTGTTTCCTAGGTAAGTCTTTACCATGTGACTGTTGACATATAAATGACTCCAGGTGCCGGGAGTGTTCCGCTTGCCAACAAGAATGCTTCCGCACGAACTCGCCCCCTATTGACCATCTTGAGGAAAATACCTTCACTACAGGCAGTTTTCGCAACAAAGTCTTGACTGTGTTGGAGTCCTAGGGCCTAGAAGTGTCAATCATAAATGTCATTGACACCTGCCAGTGGCAGGACTGGTTTGTTACGAGACTTATTGACTATGCTTACGATGCTGTCGTGAATTTACTCACCTCGGACGGACTGGATGATGCCGGGTTGGGGCTGGGGATGGTCGTTCCCGTGAGCTGACACGCATTCGGTAAATATACTACGCCGAGCTGATAAGTACTGCGGCTGCATTTCATGTTCTGGAGCATGTTCCAGAGTAAGCATGTCGCAGTTCTGACAAATGCCGGACAGGAATCAGAAGCGTTGCTAGGTGCCTTAACGCTGTGCGCCAGGCGAACGATGGCTAGCTTGGAAGGGATCCTTCATTTCATTATACCCTGCCTTCACGAACATCGACGCGCTCGCTTGTTTTGCTTGCCTTGCGTCTTCCTCTTGATCGATTGACAGCAGAAGAATGCAATGACGCTCTCAAACGCCCGTCCCTTTCGGGTTTCGGACAATTGGCAATTTGGTAGACCGGTACTGGTTATGCCGAGAGGAAAGGATCAAGGATGCGCAAAAAAGATTTCCTATCAGTGGTGCAATGATAACTGCGCTCATCACCGCTTGTGGTATCTAGATCCAGTAATGGTTGTGTCCTGACTCCTGTTAACTAGGACTACCCAGCAACTACGCGTAGTCTTGCCGTCGAATATTCGCACGGTGGCCATATATAAGGTTGCCTTCATACATTGATAACAAAGGAGTACAATTCGGTAGCTTGAACAGTACCATGTCGTTCTTTGAAAAGGTCTTAAATTATGCAGAGCGCCTCCCAGAAGGCATCGAGAGGACAAGGGATCAGATCATTGGTTCGTTATATGCTACTCCTGACACCTGAGACGCGCCTCATGATCACTTGCTCCTCATAGGGATAATCGATCCTGATAGTGAGTATGATAAGCGCCAGGTTCAATTATATCTGATTTGGCTGGTCAGGGCGTCATGATAACCCAGAGGAGAAACTGGACGATGAGATTCGAACGCAGATCAATGCAGGCCACCGTTTCAATAGTTTCGCGGGTCAGAGGTCCGAGAATTCCGTCAAATGGTACGTTTTCGTCCATACGGCCAGTTTGAATACTCAGACCCCCCCCCCCCCCCCCTTACAGGCATATTGATGGTCATGACTACATGTATGCGTTGTCCGAGATCCTCGACGGTGCAAAGGAGTGTATCTTCATACTGGTATGTTCGAAATCATCGCAGTACTAGCTTGAGACTTATGTGTTATTGCAGGATTGGTGGCTTACTCCTGAGTTATACCTTCGGTCAGTGTTTTGATGACGTTTGCTGTGCCTCAAGGGCTGATGTATTTCGTGCCCAGACGACCACCCGCAGATCATCCGGAATGGAGACTCGACCGACTGCTTCAACGTAAGGCTCGAGAAGGAGTGAGAATATATTGTATTGTCTACAAAGAGGTATAGGTTTCTTCGAGCGTTATGCAATTCCTATTAAACGTTTGGGCACCAATCAGGTCGCTCAAACAATGTCGTTGAATTCAAAGCACACAAAGGTCTGCACATCTAGTTTTGTTTTAGTCTTGCGGATGTTTAGGTCGAGTGACGTAGGCCGCATTAGAAGCCTTACACCCTAACATTGCTTGTATGCGACATCCAGATCACATTGGAACCAAAGGTGAGAATAAGGAATAATCGACAAGCAGTTTTACATAACCTTGAGTCACAGATGCCGTGGAATTCTGGTCTCACCACGAGAAGGTATGCACACACCCTTTTGTTCGCGGCAGTCCCTATATTCATTTCTGGCAGCTTGTGGTTGTCGACAACCACCGCGGATGTGTTGGAGGACTTGACATATGTTTTGGTCGCTGGGATACGCACAATCACCCCCTTGCGGATGTGCACCCGACGGACTGGTCACGAACTCTCTTTCCGGGTCAGGATTATAACAACGCACGTGTCCTTGACTTCCAGAATGTCGATAATTATGTTAGCAATGCTGTCTCGATCATGGAAACTCCAAGAATGCCATGGCATGATGTGAGTTTCAAGCTGTTTAAGTTTCCCTACCACATCGTGTGACTCTCGCCGCATTAGGTTCATATGACAATGTGCGGCTCTGTTTGTTTGGATCTTTCCCAACATTTCGTTGAGAGGTGGAACGAGGTGAAACGTAGGAAGGTACGTGGTCAGATGGTCAGATTATGTGGACGTTTCAAGGCTGATTTGATGCCACGTTTTCAAAGTACCGTAATGACGAGTAAGTTCAACAATTTCAAATGAAGTGTCCAACCTTACCGCTCCACAGTCGATACGACTGGCTTGCGCTTCCCCACAATGTAGCGATCTCTCCGAACGAAGCTGTCGTCCGTATGTAGATGGTTTGCGGTAATTTTGTTCAACGCTAATAATCCACAGGCCATCCCCATCGTGAGAAATGGCATCGAATGGGTCGTCGTTTCAAACAACGTTTCCACCTCGAAGATGATGAGGTAGTCGAACCGCCTTACACTCCTCCCCCGCATGGGGTTTGCCGTGTGCAGGCCGTGCGGAGTGTCTGTGACTGGAGTCACGGTGTGCTTACGGAACACAGCATTCAAAATGCTTGTACGTCTTCCCCACGCGCAAGCCGCATGTTTGTTCTGAAACCTTGGTACAGATATTCAATTGATCAACGAGGCCAATCATTTCATATATATTGGTACGTTCCGATGCTGAAGATTTTATCCCAATGTGATATTTACGCTCGTGACTGATCTAAAGAAAACCAATTCTTGTGAGTGTGGCAGTAACGTGTATGTCCGGTTATCTGATCCATTTTGCTATATTTAGCATCTCCAACACGCGCGAGGAAGGCCCGGTCAAGAATCAAATAGCAAAGGCAATTGTCGGGCGGATTATTGAAGCCGCCAGGGATGGTCTGAAGTTCAAGGTTTGGAATGTCCTTCGTTACTATTCGCCTGATTTTTTAGTGATGAAACCAGGTTATTGTGGTTATCCCTGAGCTGCCTGGATTTGCCGGGGATATCAAGAACGATAAATCTTTGAAGATTATTATGGCAGCACAATACCGCACGATTAACCGCGGCGGTCACAGTATATACGAGGAGATCCGAGCTGCTGGTTTTGAACCGTAAGTTATAATTGTTATATTTTAATTTGCGCTGAATAGTTTCTCGGATATTAGGATGGACTACATTCGTTTCTACCACTTGCGTTCCTACGACAGGATCAATGCTCCGCAGAGTAAGTTAACTCGTAAATGACACTGCAAGTCTATTCTAAGCGAGGCCCAACAGAGTCGTTAATATCACAAATGGAGGCAAACTCAGGAGTTTCATTTTACCAGGCCCAGACCGCTCTTGCGCGTCAATGGGAAGGTCCCCGTTACACTAGCGGCGACACTCCAAAGGAAGTGTTTATCAGAGTGCCTCAGCCTGCGCAGGAAGGCATAGGTTCAAACCAGCAGACCAAGATGAAGCTTGTGAAGGTGCCTCTGCCAGCTTCATATGATGAAGCAGTGGACATTATTCGGAGGTTCGAGGGAGGCTCAGATGACATCAAAGGCGATGAAGATGTGTCTGATACCGTAGCGCAGCACAAAATGCTGGACAGAACACGCTTGACTGATGAGATTTGGTATGGTTCGGAACAAGAGGAGCGTGATGCGTACGTCTATTATTGCATATCGCTACGCCCAACTAATTCGTCGGAAAGATACGTGTCGGAGCTTCTTTATATCCACTCGAAGGTTATGATTGTTGATGATAGGCGCGTTATTGTGAGTGCTTCTAGACTGGCTGTATTTTTTCTGATCGGTGACTCTGAGCCTAGTTGGGTTCTGCGAATTTGAATGACAGAAGCCAAAAGGTTCGTCGTTTCCGCTGAAAAGGCATGTGTAAGCTAATGACCCTCGCCTTCTAGGGTGACGGCGATTCGGAAATTGCGCTCGTTGTCGAAGACGGTGACATGGTACGATCGACGATGAATGGGCAGCCATATATGGCCGCACGTTTTGCGACTACTTTGCGTCGCAAGCTCTTCCGGGGTGAGATTAGCGTCAAAGCTACCCGAGCGTTATTTAACTGCTATACAGAGCACCTTGGCCTCATTGAGCCCCAGAACGTCCTTCATTCCAGGGAGAAGGTGACCTCATTCATGCGATGCGCTCCAGAGCCCAACGACGACGAGATCGGGACGCCGGAAGACAATGCCGTCGCTGATCCCCTTGCAGACAGCACCCTAGAACTCTGGAATAGTACAGCAAGAACGAATCGCGAGATTTTCACAGAGGTCTTCCGTCCTGTGCCCACTAACCTTGTTCGTTCTTGGTCCGCATACGAGGCAAGTGACGATATTTCCGATCTTCCTCGGTGCCTGTCTGACGTTACTATACAGAATTATGTGCCAAAGGTCAAGACTGGTCACGTTGTACCGGAGATACAGCTGCAGCGCATCAAGGAACGCCTTTCCCATGTCAGGGGTTCAGTTGTCGAGTGCCCTCTGGTGCGTCTTTGATGATCTATGGGGAGATTGGCGCTCACATGTCACCCCAGGATTTCTTGATAGATGACAAGGAGTTCGTCGAGGGTGTAGACTGGCTGGGATTAAATCCGACGCTTCCGATTTACATCTGATCATAAGTCGTGGATCGTCATGGGGGACTGACAGAACGATATTCTTGTATGTATGGACCGATATAGTGGCATGTAATACTAGTATGATTGTTACGCCCTTCTCCACGTGAATCACGCAATGCGCGGAGTATGGAAAGCCGTGCGGAACCAGATTTTAAAACTATTAAATGAGGAATCAGTCAAGCACGATTTCAAACAAAAAAACCCTTCAAAACCGCGGCGAAGAGATAGATTGGCAATATTTAATGCATGTGCTAGTCAGGGGGACATGAGGCTTTCATTTGAGGGCTGAGCGAATGCCCGAATTGTTTAGAGAGTTCAAGCTCCACTTGTTACAATAGTCGAAATAAGGGTTCCGGTGGCAGACGGGCATAATAAGCCAAGTAGATTCTTAGAAGCGCTTCCGCTCCACTGCGCTTGCGTTTCCCTTCCCAGCTGACTCTTCACTTCTTGATATCGTTCGCTCGTCGTCTCCAACGATGAGCACGATGACTGACTCTAACCAGCAGGGTCTTTCTTATCCATTTCTTTCTCATCTTATTGCACTGCTATCAGCCTACGAACTATGTCCTATGTCTACGCCACACCCACGATATGATGGGCCTGCAGATTGGCAGACAGACACCATCCTGCGCTCTCTTGAAGCCGTTGCACGAAGAATGTATACTGCGGAGGAGACTTTGGCTTCGATCAAAGCTTCGGAGTGTTGGCAAACTAATGGGCCAGAGACAAAGAAAAGACGCAGTGTAGGCGACACTCGCATATCATCATCTTCGTCTTCTCAGAAAGAGACCAACCCATTTTCTTCCCTCACGCAGTCCAGCACCAATGTCAATGCTTTCGCTCCGTCTCCCAGTATCCCAGCATCAACTCATAGTTTCCAGACCAACACCTCAAATTTACCGCCCACCGCAGAATCAAATGATGTCGACATGCAGGAGCCCGATAGCACACATGATGTCGATCGCATACCAGGAAACAAACAACACTCCGCTCGCGCAAGCTCAATGTCCTTATCACTCGACGGTATCCCAACTCATATTGATGTTGCAACTCTCCTTCGGTCATTTAACAATGGAAACTCGGCATCGGCATCGGCACCCCCCACCTCGCACATCGAACATATGGCTTGCCCAACATGCGGAAAGGCTATCACCGACACTTTGACTATGAGCCGGATCAACAGCTCCTTTGATGGCTCACCCTCTGGATCTCCTCTTGTCGTCCCTCCTGGTCCTCTTGCTGCTGCGGCGTTCGAAAGCGGCATGAGCGCCGTCGAAGAACTGAGGCTGCTCAAGGCTCAGGTTCAAGATGTCGCTCGTGTGTGCAATGCTGTGGCCAGAGGTGACTTGTCCCAGAAGATTACGGTTCCCGTCCAGGGTGTGGTTATGGTTCAATTGAAGGATGTCATAAATACTATGGTATTCTTCTAGAATTTCATCATTAGAGCTCGCTCATGCACATCATTGTCAGGTCGATAAATTGGGACAGTTCGCCAAAGAGGTCACTCGTGTCAGTCAAGAAGTCGGTACAGAAGGGTACAGTGACCAGAAATCCGGATCCTAAATGTTTTAATCAGTATTTCGCAGTAAACTCGGTGGACAGGCTCTCGTATTGGATGTCGAAGGTACCTGGCGGGAACTGACTGGCGTCGTCAATAAATTAGCCGCCAATTTGACCAATCAAGTCCGAAGTATCGCCAAGGTCACTAAAGCTGTCGCGTTGGGAGATTTATCAAAACAGATCGATGTCGATGCTCGCGGCGAAATCCTTGATTTGAAGAATACTGTAAACGGAATGGTCATCCGACTTCGTGCATTAGCCGCTGAAGTCACTCGTGTCACATTGGAAGTCGGCTCTCAAGGCAAGTTGGGTGGTCAAGCGCATGTGCCAGATGTCGAAGGTGTTTGGTTCGAGTTGGTTCGCAATGTATGCCCGTCACTTTGTCTTATCGGCGTGGGGGCCTTATCTGCGTCTCAAGGTCAATCGGATGTGCTCAAGCTTGACGGATCAAGTGCGCTCTATCGCCAAAGTCACAACCGCCGTGGCCAAGGGTGACTTGACGCAGAAGATTGAGATCCAAGTCGAAGGCGAAATGTCAACTTTGAAGGGCACTGTCAACTCCATGGTGGACCAGCTGAGCGCCTTTGCATCAGAAGTCACTCGTGTCGCGCTTGAAGTCGGTACGCAAGGTATATTGGGTGGCCAGGCCCGCGTAGAAGGTGTGCAGGGCACATGGGCTGACTTAACACGCAATGTCAACGTGAGTCATCTCAACGATAGTCTGGTGTCGTCGAGTGTCGCTGATATGCTGTGGGACAGAAAATGGCTAGCAATTTGACTGACCAAGTACGATCGATTTCGGAGGTCACAAAGGCTGTCGCGTTGGGCGATCTAAGCAAAGTCGTCAACGTCGATGTACAGGGAGAAATGCTGGATTTGAAGATGACTGTTAACTCTATGGTTGCCCAATTGTCTACGCTCGCCAACGAAGTCACTCGTGTGTCTTTGGAAGTCGGTACAGAAGGTATCTTGGGTGGTCAAGCATATGTCCCCGATGTACAGGGCATGTGGAAGGTAGGGCGCAAAGATAGAGATATGATACATTTCTGACGTTCACTACAGGTTCTTACAGATAATGTCAACCTCATGGCCATGAATTTGACCAACCAGGTGCGATCAATTGCAGAAGTGACGAAGGCTGTCGCTGGTGGCGACTTGACAAAGAAGATCGAAGTCGACGTGCGCGGCGAGATCAAGGAGTTGAAGGAGACTGTCAATGGCATGACCGAAAGCTTGAGTCTCTTCGCCGATGAAGTCACTCGTGTCGCAAGAGAAGTCGGCACGGAAGGACGATTGGGAGGTCAGGCTCGTGTAACTAACGTCGGTGGTACATGGAAGGTGAGTGTGGTGCACAGTTCGTGTATCAATGCTCATCTTGAATAGGACTTGACGGACAACGTGAACGTCATGGCTGCTAATGTAGGCACATTTCAGCTTTACGGGAACTAGCACTGATTTTTCCCGGCGTCGTAGTTGACTTTACAAGTCAGAACGATTGCTGTCGCAACCGTGAGTATTACCTGCCGCGACCCAGACCTTCTGTTGAATTTGTCATCAGACTGCTGTCGCTCGCGGAGACTTGACTCAACAAATCACTGGTGTCTCCGTGTCCGGAGAGATGCTGAGCTTGGTCAACACTATCAATGACATGATTGCCCAGTTGGCGATCTTCGCCAAGGAAGTCAAGAAGGTAGCCTTCGAAGTCGGTACAGAGGGTAAACTGGGTGTCCAGGCTGAAGTGGGCAACGTCCAGGGTATCTGGCAAGAAATCACGTAAGTAAGGGTCATGATCCGGAGAGATGGGTATTGACACCGCTGAAGCATGTCCGTCAACACTATGGCCGGGAACTTGACTACGCAAGTCCGTGGATTCGCTCAAATCTCGGCAGCTGCTATGGATGGTGACTTCACTCGTTTCATCACTGTCGAGGCCAGCGGAGAGATGGACTCTTTGAAAACACAGATTAATCAGATGGTCTTCAATTTGCGTGACAGCATCCAGAAGAATACCGCCGCGAGGGAGGCGGCTGAGCTGGCGAACAGGAGTAAATCTGAATTCCTGGCGAACATGTCGCATGAAATCAGGTAACAGTGTTCTTTTTTCCTGTCTCGACATTGCATGCTCAAGCTCTCATAGAACGCCAATGAACGGAATTATCGGCATGACGGAACTCACTCTTGACTCTGATTTAAACCGATCACAAAGGGAAAGTTTGCTCCTAGTGCACTCATTGGCTCGCTCGCTGCTACTCATCATTGATGACATTTTGGATATTTCGAAGAGTGAGCTTCTATTCCCGATGTTGATGTATTGATCTGATGTACATGTTCTACAGTTGAGGCCGGTCGAATGACCATGGAGGCTGTCTCGTACTCCCTCCGTCAAACAGTATTCGGGATCCTCAAGACCCTTGTCGTTCGTGCATCACAAAACAACCTGGATCTCACATATGATGTCGACCCGGACATTCCTGATCAACTTATCGGTGATTCACTACGTCTTCGTCAAGTCATCACGAATTTGGTTGGCAACGCCATCAAGTTCACTCCGTCCAAGGTCTCCCGCAAGGGCCATGTTGCTCTAAGCACGAGGCTACTGGCGCTGGATGACTCGAGTGTGACCCTAGAATTCTGTGTCACTGACACGGGGATCGGTATCGCCAAAGACAAACTAAATCTCATTTTCGACACCTTCTGTCAAGCAGATGGTTCCACGACAAGAGTGCGCGTTCATATTACAATTTATCGCAAGGGTTGCAGCTGATCGTACCATAGGAATATGGTGGAACCGGTCTGGGTCTTTCCATCTCCAAGCGCCTCGTCAACCTCATGCAAGGCAACATGTGGGTGGAGAGCGAGGTCACGAAGGGAAGCAAGTTCTTCTTCACGATCACATCGCAGATTTCCCAAAGTACGCTGGAGACCACACTGCAAAAGATGCAACCATTCCAGAAGCGTGCTATTTTGTTCGTTGACACCCTCAACGACACGACTGGAGTTGTCCAACGGATCCAGGAGCTAGGACTGAGACCATATGTCATCCATGATGTCAGCGAGGTAGCCGATAAGGAGCGGTGCCCGCATATCGACACTATCGTTGTGGATTCATTGAGCATGGTACGTCACTTAGGTGTCACATGAGTTCATATTGGCCTCATACATTCGTCATAGACTGAAAGTATCAGGGAATATGAGCACCTGCGCTACATTCCCATTGTATTATTGGCGCCTTCGATGCCACGTCTGAACCGTGAGTATGCGAGGATGTGCTCTGGTGACGTGGGGTTGACAGTCGTAGTTAAATGGTGCTTGGACAACAGCATCAGCTCGCAGGTTACGACCCCCGTCACGGCCCAAGACCTTGCTTCCGCCCTCATTTCTGCCCTGGAGTCGAATACTGTCTCACCCGTCTCGGCACCGAATGACATCGTCTTTGACATCCTCCTGGCTGAGGATAACATGGTGAACCAGAAACTAGCAGTCAAGATTCTGGAGAAGTACGGTCACACAGTCGAGATCGCGGAGAACGGAAGTCTAGCTGTCGATGCTTTCAAGGCACGGATACAACAGAACAAGCCATTTGACATTATCCTGGTGAGTGTTTTCTTTTTGCTCAATGGTCCACAGTAGTAATATCTCCCCTAGATGGATGTATCAATGCCTTTCATGGGAGGAATGGAGGCGACTGAGCTCATCCGAGCGTATGAGATGCACAAGGGACTGCTGCGGATTCCTATCATTGCTCTCACTGCTCACGCTAGTACGTTGCAATCTCGTGGCTCAGGGGAGGTGGCTGAATTTTTTTTCAGTGATTGGTGATCGCGAGCGATGCCTGCAGGCAGGTATGGACGATCACATCACCAGTACGTGCCCCATTTATCCGCGAGTCTCTTGGTCTCACGTGCTACTCATTTTGCAGAGCCCCTTCGTCGTGGAGATCTTTTGAACTCGATCAACAAGCTCGCAGGCGAGCGCGCACAGCTAGCCAAGCAGCATCACCTCCTCCACCGACCACCTGCTCTCATGGCACCATGACTGATGCTTTTCTGCATGATTTCATTGTTTCAGGTTTTGTATACCCTTGTTTGATGTCGATTCCGGTTTGTCGATGCTTCTAGTAACGTTTATGGCTTTCCAATGCTACCCCACCCATGTCAAATTAATCTGTACGATAGCATGTTCATTTCTTTTGTTACACTGTCTCAGACTCGTTGGGTAATCTCATATTCGAACCCCCTGTATGTTGGCGTATAATGTTGGGTTCATCCTATGTACGGGAAGACTATGGTTTGGTCTGGCTACTGGAGGCTAGGTTCACGGTGGTTTTAGGTCTTTATAGGTGTCTTGTCAATTATAGATGATCAGTTGGAGTTGATTGACGTTGATGAGATGTTGTGAAGGTGCAGTGCCCACTCGTTTATGTAGCATCCCCAAGATCCCTTAATAGATTCTCTTCGCCGAGATCCAAATTTGAACTCGAACAGCACACAGTGATTCATGGCAGTGTACGAGCGGTATCAGTGTTTCACAATACATCACCCTCACGCATCGGATCTCACATTTGGCACGGAGCTGATGGAAATCAAGAGGTAAGTCAAGTATAGTATGTACCACAGCCAAACCTCATGGCATCTTAATTTTTTCCCACTTCGGACCGTCGGATGATCATCGATCAGATATCAATATTAACCATCCAGGGTGACAAAACAAGAAATCAACAAGAGGCAGTGCCAAGGCAGCTTTTACCAGTTTATTTCTACGGTCCGAGATAAATATGGTGTTAATAAGAGAGGGTATTCATGAACCATATGCTAGTCTCTAGTATGCAGCTGACCTAAATAAATTTAAGATGAACGCTGAACGATATCTTGTTACGCAAACAAGTGTTGATATGATGATGTCCAGAAAAACGGCCCTAAAAGATCACAAGTCGGCACTTATGCTCAGAGGATGAGAATACCGCAAACAATGGCAACAGCCAGGCTGAAGGCCCCGGTAGCTGCTTTCATGCCAACAACACCGCCGCCGACGAGAGGGCTGCTGCCGCTGCTGCTAGTACTAGTGGTCTTAGTGGAGGTGGTGCTGCTAGCGCTAGTTGTCGAGCTTCCGCCTGTAGTCACTGTCGAGCTTCCGCTTGCAGTCACTGTCGAGTTTCCGCTAGTAAGCTGTAAATATACGCCGTCAGGCCACCACAAGCGAACCAGTGGAATTATCAACGAACAGTGAGAGATCCACCGCAAGCTTCGTTCCAGCTGTCGAGGGCGGACTGAGCTTCTGTCTGGGTTGATGGTTCAGCCGCAACGACGCAAACCAAGCATGATTGAAGCTCGGGTCCGATAGCCGACGCGCAGATGCAAGACACAGTGGTGCTGCAGGTCTAGGGGGAACGTCTAAGCGATGTCAAAAGCTTAAATATCAGGCGTACTCACAGTGATTGTGTCGACGACTTGGCAGATGCTTTGGCATTGAGAGGGAAGCTCGCTCGTGCTATCCTGCCGGATAGCAAGGGCATTGGGAGAAACATCGCGTGCGAGAGGAGCGGCTAGATGCGATGAGGACGTGTTAGTTCACGAATAGATATCAGTGTATCGAAAGTTTACCTTGCGCGGCAGCAACAAGAACTTGAAGGAGTGGAGTGATTTGAACCATTGGAAAGTTGGATGGTGACCGGCTACGCACGGGGCTTAGAAGAGACAGATTTCGGAAAGCGGGGTTGGTTGGTCTTATAGGAAAATTTTAGCGCCTGCCATACGTCAGAAGGGAATAAGGATGCTATGTAACTTGAGGGTGCGAGCCGCCCTGAGGAGGATCACGAAGTCACGACCAACAGCGGCCGACATGCCAATACTAGAATCGGCGATCTAACGGTAGAATAATTTTGTGTCCTTTTGTGCCTTGAAGCTCTTAATCATTCTTGATGCACCTGATGTCCCAGCGGGAGGCTATGTCACGACTCATGGTGTTGCGTTTGTTTGCAGCCTGGGATAGTGAAATGAGTGGGTCAGGCTTGTAGTACCGGGTGCCCTCGAGCACGAAGTCGCAGTGTTGGTTGAGACCTAGTACTCAGGCTCATATTGGTGGAATGATAGATTGTCGGTCAATGATATTTCTTGTAGTAAATCGCGTACTTTATTGGACTTTATTTGAAGCGGCCGACCGTCGGCCCCGGTCCATCGCGACGCTATATAATAGCGCATGATGCTGATCGGTATGCGATGTCGATCGTTTGCACCCGAACTTGCAATTGCGAAACTTTCAAGCGCAAAACACCTCATTGAAGCTTTTGAAGTCGTTCAACCTTTGGGCCACGAATCACTATGACTCGGATATGTAGAGTACTTACATAATGTACACAATCCCTCATCGTCACGGTGAAGCTTGACCACCGTATGGCCGAGTACTTATGCCGGACCAGGTATAACTGTATCCTTTATCAACTTGCCTGGGTAACACCATCTCCTTTGATGACATGGAGACTGATCGGCTATGCCAGGACGTCGAAAGTGCAGTCTGACGATAGGTGCTGCTCAAAGCTTCGTACAGCTTATGCAAGTCAGACAAACCTCCAGCCTGGCTTGCGACCAGAGCACCAGCACGATGAGAACTGATGAGTTATTCTCGAAGGTCACGCGTCGGGCCCAAGCTATAATAAGGCCCCGTGGGAAACTGCCGTATTCGTCAGCATTGAGCAATTTCTTCATCTGATGGATATGACCGTCACAGCTGCAGTACGACTTCTGCCCGATGTCCCAAATACCCATGTCTGTTGGGATCACAATGCCTGTACACTCCTGTACGTACACCTTTTTCTGATCGCATGTAAACTGATCGGCCTCGCTGAACGTCGAAAGTGCTATATTGTTGTTGTCGAGGCTTCGCGAATTGTACAACTTTTACAAGTCGGATCATGATAAACCTCGAGGCTCAGCGCTCCAGCCTGAAGCTTGCGACCAACAGCACACGTGAGGTTGGGCTATATTAATAAGGTCCTGCGGGGAATCGGCATCCGTCAGCCGTAATGCAACTATCTGACTGTCTGAAGATAGCAGGTTCCCGTTCCAGAGTTTTGCTAGCCTGCAGGTTTGAACATTTTAAGCGTCGAACCAACGTTTGAATGTGAGTTAACTTGAATCATCGTGTATCATGCTGTCGGGATCGCATCACTAGTAGAAGTGCGTAGCTCCTTCACAAGACTATGGACCGCCTTTATTCAGTATTCAATTTTATGACGCCACACGGTACTATGTACCAGCCCACAAACACTTTGGTCGTCACAGATTTATGTGGGACCAAGATCATCCCCTTGAATGAGCTACGGGTTCAAGAAAGCCCCCGCTGCAAGAAGCGTTTGACGTGTCTCCAGAAAACTCGTTCAGAAGCTCACCCGGTTCGCTTATTTCCAATTTTCCATTGCTCCGCCTTCGTATCCGATCTCTACAGTTGTCTGATCTCCCACCGCGTGGTCAATCCCGCTGAGGATGTTTCGCGTCACTTCGCTGCAAAGTCAAAGGCCTTTTCGCTCGATGTGCTGGACGGCCCAACCCCTCTCAACCTAATTCCCCCTTGGCGCATGAAAGACAGGTGTGGGGGGTCTTTAGTCAGCACGCATTGCAGTATCCTTAACAGATGGTCCGAAGCAGGAATCTCCACGGCTCGCGGTACCCGAAGAGGGCGTCGAGCTTCCGAACATGACCTCTGGCCATCCTAGTGTATTGATTAAAGAACCCCCCCAAATCATGACCTGCAACGCTTCATGCATTTCCCCCTGCAACCGGCACATGCTCTTGTTAATACTGCCGCACTTTTCGATGAAATTGCTGTTCAAACTCTCAACAACTTAGTGCTGCCAGTGAGGGTTCGGATAGACGACAGATGGACTGTGTTTGGACCGAAGGACAAGCATTTGTTTTGGGTCCCACCATTATACACTTTCCGGTGGTACCCTCCGAGGATGCGGTGGGTCAGCCCGCCCAACACGCAGGTGGATCTCAGCCATATGGCTCATGGGTTATCATGGGAATCTTGTTATAGAACAAACACATATGTTTGACATATAGATAAGTATGAGTTTCGCCGTACAGTATATGATAATCATTACAACCTTGACGAACACTTTTATGCTGCACCTTCTCTTAACAATGGCTGTTTGTCAAGCATGCGAGACTTTGTATTGGTGGTAGTCGAGGGTGATTGAGGAGTAAGGATAGGCACCATAATGCCGTCGTGCAATGCAGATCTAGGGAATTGAGCTGAGGACATGCAAGAAGTCGCCCTGTGTGTGTCCTATCGTTTCCCATTGTTGTGTGCTCCCATACAGGTGAGGGGAAAACTTGGCGGGGCCGCCCAGGGGGGCCATTCTTACCATGTAGGCTTGCATCACTCATCAGTATCGTAGTACATCGTAAGGCAATAGATAGAATCTAGTTGTATATCATAGTCATAGTACAATACAAATCACTGAAAATAACAAGTACGCAAGCGCGACAAAACCCGATCCAGTCCATACTGGAGAAGCAGACGCTCAAGGATTATCAATGCATACATTGGAAGCTTGTCATAAAGCATTTGAAATTCTTCTCTGGATTCTGACCTGGTACAGGCCCACGGATAAGATGAGAATTGAGCCCCTTCAGTGAATTTACCCATCTCAGACGGGCAGCCGGGCGTGACAATGTACAGTGGCTCAAAAAACTGTCCACATGTTTTCACATTTTTCACTATCTATGATATTGTGTGATAATATCCAAAGACCTCAAGGACATGCTGGTACCATATTGTAGTACTACTTCAGGGCTTTCAATTGAGCACTATGCCGTGGGAATTGGTGAAGATAAGGTGGAGATATGAGGCTTACAAAATGATGACTCATGCGGACAGTTTTTTGACTCAAGTATTTTACAGTGATAATCAGGTATTCTAGTACTTTGTGTGACCTCCCTTGGCTTTAATTACTACCTCTATCCTTCTAGGCATACTCTTGAAACTATATCTAACTATATAAACCAGAATGTCTCTTGTGTCATAGTCAGAATCACCATAAAAGCCATCTCCTCTGCTTAAAGAGATAATATCCTCTCCCTGTCCTATTCTGGCCTCTCTGCTCATCAAATTTCCTCTAGAACTGGAGTATGCAAGTATACTGTGACCAATTTTATCAAAGAAAACCACCTGGACAAGGAAAACTCTTGTGGAGGACATCCATCTCTACTCATAAGAGGGCTATCATCCAACATATCACTACAGGAAAGGCTGATAATGCTGTCCAAGCCACCCATTATATCAATTCCACCATTAACACCACTGTCTCTTCACAAACTGTGAGGAATGTTCTCAAGGTGGCTCATCTCAAGGCAGTAACAAAGCAGACATACCTATTCTCTCTATTACACATAGGCAGAGAAGACTAGCCTTTGGCTTGGCCCATCAAAACTGGACTATAGAGGACTGGAAGCATGTTATATGGTCAGATGAGACCAAAATCAATAGGATTGGGTCAGATGGGAAGGTATATGTATGGAAAAAGAAGGGTAATTCTCTAACAGACAGAGAGGTTAGTGGGACTGTCACATTTGGAGGAGGTTCTCTAATGGTATGGGGCTGTATGGGATGGAATTGTGTGTGTATGCTTGCTGAAGTTGAGGGGAGGGTAGATGCTAAGCAGTATGTGGACATTCTAAATGACCACTTGCTGCCTAGCATAGCTGAATCAGGGATTGAGGGAGAAGACATCATTTTCCAACAGGATAATCATCCCAAGAATACATTTAGGAGAGCCAGACAATGGTTTTAAGAATATAATATCAATGTTCTTGACTGGCAAGCACAGTCCCCTGATGTCAATGTCATTGAACATCTCTGGGGAACACTCAAGATGAAGCTTCAAGCCTATGAAACCCCCCTAAAGGAGTATGGGAGCTATGGGAGAGAGTAGTAGTGGAATGGTGAAATATTACAGCAGAATATTGCCAGAAATTGATTGAGAGTATGCCTAGAAGGATAGTGGGAGTAATTAAAGCCAGGGGAGGTCACGCAAAGTACTAGAATACCTGATTATCACTGTAAAATACTTGAGTCAAAAAACTGTCCGCATGAGTCATCATTTTGTAAGCCTCATATCTCCACCTTATCTTCACCAATTCCCACGGCATAGTGCTCAATTGAAAGCCCTGAAGTAGTACTACAATATGGTACCAGCATGTCCTTGAGGTCTTTGTATATTATCACACAATATCATAGATAGTGAAAAATGTGAAAACATGTGGACAGTTTTTTGAGCCACTGTACCAATAGAGACGAGTCACCCGGTGCCGGCCCATGGCAATAATTGTACTGTGTTAGATGAGTGGGCCGAGGGGGTGGAGTGTCCAAGGCAAACGGATGGGCCAGGTGTATATAGTATAGATGGTAGTATAGCAATGTACTATATAGGAAATTATGAATAGTAGTAGTGAATCCAGTGTGTGACCAGTTGCTTGTGGTAACATAGCACTCAATCCGGTGATTCCACCGGTGGTCTGATCATGTAAAATGGTCAAGACTTGACAAAGTTATGAGTGCTACAAGAAAAAGTCACAAAGTCAGAGGATATATGATATCTAGACCATTGTGACCGGGATTTTTCAACTGGAAGTTATGTGACCAGTTGCTTGTGGTAGCATAGCACTCAATCCGGTGATTCCACCGGTGGTCTGACCATGTAAAATGGTTAATATTTGACAATGTTATGAGCCTTACAACAAGAGAAAGTCACAAATTCAGAGCATATGTGATATCTAGAACATTGTCAAAGGATACAGTGTTGTATCAGTTTATATCTGGACCATTGTAATCAGTATTTTTGCAACCGGTTGCTTGTGGTAATGTAGCACTCAATCAGGGGATTCCATTTTGCCCCTTTGATAGGAGAGTGTTCTAGCACTGTCAAAACATATTTAGGAGTATATATTAACATATTCCACCACTTAGTTGACCCCCTGAAGGGCTACATCAAACAATATAGCATATATACATGAAAACATAACTGATAAGAACCCTCCAACACTATCAAGGATGTTATTGGTAATCAGACACTTGGGATATGTCCCATGTATATCCCTAGTCACGGTCCTAAAATTCTGGAAAGATCCCTCAAGTATTGACTGTAAGATAAGTAAAACAACACAGGCTTGACATATGACAATTTACCCCTGTCACTGAAAGTCACTGACATATATCACACACACCAAAGATTTTAGTTACCACAAGCAACTGGTTACATAACTACTGGTCGAAAAATACCGGTCACAATGTTCTAGATATCACATATGCTCTGAATTTATAACTTTCTCTTATTGTAAGGCTCATAACATTGTCAAATATTAACCATTTTACATGGTCAGACCACCAGTGGAATCACCGGATTGAGTGCTATGCTACCACAAGCAACTGGTCACATAACTTCCAGTTGAAAAATCCCGGTCACAATGGTCTAGATATCATATATCCTCTGACTTTGTGACTTTTTCTTGTAGCACTCATAACTTTGTCAAGTCTTGACCATTTTACATGATCAGACCACCGGTGGAATCACCGGATTGAGTGCTATGTTACCACAAGCAACTGGTCACATAACTTCCGGTTGAAAAATCCCGGTCACAATGGTCTAGATATTATATATCCTCTGCCAGTGAATTTGTGACTTTTTCTTGTAGCACTCATAACTTTGTCAAATATTAACCATTTTACATGATCAGACCACCGGTGAAATCACCGGATTGAGTACTGTTACTAGAAACAACCAGTCACATAAATACCGGTCACAATGGTCTAGACATGATATATCCTCTGAATTTGTGACTTTCTCTTGTTGTAAGGCTCATAACTTTGTCAAATCTTAACCATTTTACATGGTCAGACCACCGGTGGAATCACCGGATTGAGTGCTACGTTACCACAAGCAACCGGTCACGTAAATACCGGTCAAAAAATACCGGTTGCAATGGTCTAGATATCATATATCCTCTGACTTTGTGACTTTTTCTTGTAGCACTCATAACTTTGTCAAGTCTTGACCATTTTACATGATCAGACCACCGGTGGAATCACCGGATTGAGTGCTATGTTTTACTATAAACAACCGGTCACATAAATACCGGACACAATGGTCTAGACATGATATATCCTCTGAAATTGTCACTTTCTCTTGTTGTAAGACTCATAACTTTGTCAAATCTTAACCATTTTACATGGTCAGGCCACCGGTGGAATCACCGGACTGAGTGCTATGTCACCACAAGCAACTGGTCACATAACTACTGGTTGAAAAATCCCGGTCACAATGGTCTAGATATGATATATCCTCTGACTTTGTGACTTTCTCTTGTAAGGCTCCTAACTTTGTCAAATCTTAACTATGTTACATGGTCAGACCACCGGTGGAATCACCGGATTGAGTGCTATGTTACCACAAGCAACCGGTCATGTAAATACCAGTCAAAAAATACCGGTTGCAATGGTCTAGATACAATATATCATAATATCCTCTAAATTTATGACTTTCCCTTGTAGGGCTCATAACTTTGTCAAATCTTAACCATTTTACATGATCAGACCACCGGTGGAATTGCCGGATTGAGTGCTATGTTACCACAAGCAACCGGTTACATAAATACCGGTCGTTGTTGCACCCCATAATACCGGCCCACCCGTCTCCATTGCACCCTATCATGCCGGCCCACCCGTCTTCATTGCACCCCATATCACCGGCCCACTCATCTTCATTGCACCCCATATCACCGGCCAACTCGTCTTCATTGCACCCAATAACGCCGGCCGACTCGTCCTCATTGCACCTCCTTTACCGGCCCACCCGTCTCCATTGCACCTGCTATACTGGCCCACTCATCTTAATTGCACCTTATTTACTGGCCCACCCATCTCCATTGCACCTGCTATACCAGCCCACTCGTCTCAATTGCACCCTATTCTCCGGCCCCCTCGTCTTCATTGCACCTTATGTACCGGCCCACTCGTCTCCATTGCACCTCATTT